ATATATATATATATATTAAGTTTTAATACACAATCAGAGTGTAATGGAGAGTAAATAAGGCATTTTCACTAGTGCCACCCATAGGCCAAACTTTACATTTGCCCCTAGTATTAGTAATGATATAAGAGTTAATCTGTGTCTGTAATCTGACTGTAGTTTATTCTGTTGATGTGTTGGTGTAGGACCAGCTGAGGAGGCCATGAATCGAGTCCCCCTGCAGCAGCCGCAGAGCTGTGGGTCCTGGGAGCTGAAGGAGCGACTGGGCACCGGAGGGTTTGGGAATGTCACAAGATGGCAAAATAAGGTACACAATCCACACACTTTTAACACACTGGTATGTGTTTACCGTCTCTGTTCTGTGGCTGCGGTGACAGGGGACATGATAGTAGACTGACTCACTGAAAATCCTTCTGCAAAAACTATTTAATTGGTTAAAATGTTGCATTTGGCAGCAGGAATGATGCATTTTAAGTAGCTAAGATATCTGGGACCTTTCCCAGAAACATCATCATCACTATCGAAATGATAATAGCTCTGATCGAATCTAAATGTAAAAACAAGCCTTTGTCAAGTAAACTAATATGTAAAACTAATGAAAGAAATACATTTTTGCAGCAACAATAAGGAATGCCTCAGTGTTTCCCTCGATGAGTTTAGTTTTGTCTGTTTTTAGTCTGTCTAAACCTTAAGAGGGACTACACTGAGGCAGCTGTGCCCCCCACCAACCCTGTCATTAAGGGATACACCCTGAACTAAAGCTGCTCCACAGTTCCCATAATGTGGTGGGCTTTGAGGGATTAAATCAGTTAGTATAATGTCACCATACAGTCAGTGAGTTTAAGTTTGGGCGACAACTTTAGCTTTAGATTTAACTTTTTTAAATTTTAGCCTATATTGGTTTCCATTTTGCCAAACTGGCACCATAAAAGTATGCAGAATTAGCTGTTAGCAGTTCCTGTTGCAACATAGCCATGAATGTACAGATAACTATCACTGGGGTACTTTGATACTGAAGAAACCCCAAAAATGTCAGGCATGTTCTGCAGTTATAAGGATTGTTTGTATAAATGTTGAGTCATGAGTTAATTTGTGATGGAGGATAATGATATCCTCAGAAAGTGTAGGTCACGTTGAATCTAAAAATATGTGTATCATGTCTGGGTTCAGATGTGACTGAGAATGACTCAGAGAAAGGATAAAAATTTTGACCAAAATTGTGGCTCATGCCTTACATCTGTCCCTCCGCTGCCTCAAATCACTTGCTTGTTGTCTGTACTCAGGAGAAAACTTCCCAGTTCTCATGTAACAGCGACACTTTAGTTGTTTCCTTTCTCATTGATGTTAATATTGTTAATATTGATATTTGTGAAATTCATACATAGAATAATCACGTTGATCAACAGTTCACAGATCAATGTGTTTTTAATTTTTAAATTTTAATTTGATTTGAGAATGGGATTCTCACCTGCACCCTTTTTGTAAATGGTATGACATCAGTCCAGGAAGCTGTCTTCTTTGTGCAACCAGTTTAAAGGTGTCTACTCTAATGATATCACTCCAGGAAGCTGTCTTCTTTGTGCAACCAGTTTAAAGGTGTCTACTCTAATGATATCACTCTAAGTCACAGGATGGAGAGCATTGTAAAGTTACATCATTAGTAACAGGACACTGTGGGAATATGAACAAGCCCCGCTTAGTGGACCTTCCTCTTCCTCAACTTACTGAAACTGTACTTGGGTTGTATTACTTATCTAAGTCCAGGTAAACTTAGAGCTAGCTTTGAGCCAGGCAGCATCTTCTTGTGAATGTAGACTTAAAAGTGATGGAGAGTCAGAAACTGTAGTTACTCACTTCAAAGAATTTTAAGTTTCAAAGATTTTAATGTAAACTCTTGAAAATACTTGAAATAAAAAATATCTGTTAACCGCTGCCTACCTTGTCTTAAAGAATACATTACAAAAAAATTAATATTGTCATATAATTTAATTCTGCTGTTTAATCAAGAGAATAACATTCAAGGGTAAATGATGTATTGTTTAACAGCCAGTGCCACGGCAGGCATACTAGTAGGCATGACAGGGCACTGCTGCTACTGTGATGACTAAACTTCCTCCATAGGAAATTTCCTATCTTCCTGTGTTAATGACAATAATGTGGGCTATTATTAGTTGATTAGTTCAGTTATGGGAAGCAGGGTGGATGCCTTTTCCTCAGTGGTCAGATATACTTGTGTTGCCCATCATTTTTGGAAAGTGGTTATGTGTACGATATAATACAGTACAGTAGCTGCCATTGGTGTGTGAGTGTGTGTGAATGGGTGAAGTGCTGTATAAATGCAGCCTTTTACAGTATGTGTTTGGTGTCACCAAGCTTGTGTGTATTTGTATCTGTCTCATGGTTTATTGTCTGTCTCTGTTTATCATGAAACAGAAATACCTCCTGAAAAGAATTCATGTTTTTAAAGCCAAATTGGTTATTAAGTATAGAATTTACATTTAATTAAAATTTTGAAAAAACATATTCACTGCTATGTAGCATCTGTAACATCCTGTTGTAAATCTAATGAAGAAAAAATGTCTCAATTTGAGACCACAAATGATGTGTTAGCATAAAAGTAAATTAGATATACTGTATCTTTGTATTTTAGACTGTTGGTTGGACTAAAAAAGGCCTTTCAAGGTATTACCTTGAGCTCTAGGAAATAATGATGAACCTTTTCTACTGTTTTCTGTTGTTTTAAAGACCTATAATATGTGAGATTAATCAAATATGAAAATAAAGATCAGAGAAATGTTGCTACTAATTTGACCCTTCAGATTTTAAATCATATTTTACAATCGTTTTGACTTTAATTATGGCCTCCTGAATTAACTATTACAGTTAATTAACTACTGAATATCAACATTCATTCTTCTTGTGTGTGTGTGTTTTCAGGACACAGAGGAACAGATCGCTATAAAGCAATGCCGTCAGGAGCTGAGCGAGAGAAACAAAGAAAGATGGTGTCTGGAGATCCAGATCATGAAGAGGTCAGTTTAAATCCCACATGCATTGATCTACTGAAGGAAAATTTTAAATCAGCGCCCTTCCTTCCTCTGTCACCTTTACATACTAGTCACGTACAGATCGCACACCACACTCATGACAGCTTCATTATATTCCTCCCACACCCCCAGATGTCAGTCTGGCAGTTTGCCTACATTAGATGGATCACAGTGAACATAAAGACAGGAAACATGGGTTAGAGAGGGGGATGGCTTACAACAAAGGTGCCTGTTGTATGGTGTATTTGTCTTAACCACTAGGACACCAGAAAACACCCCGACCAGTATTCCTGAGTTATGAACTTAATATTTGACTAAAATAATAAAGCTATGAACTAGATTTTGACACAGGCCCTGCCCTCAGAATAAGGTAATAATTCATTAAAATCCAGTATTGGCCAAATCAGAAATAAAACATTATGTTACAGTAATAAAAATGTATTAAGCAAGTACAAGAAGCTGATCGTGGTCTGTGACTGATGGATATCAGCAACAATATGCAAATAATAGTAATAATATTGATAATAAACCATCTGTGTGTGATAATATGGTGGGCTTTGTGTGTGGAGGGGGTGTCGATCTGCTGTTAGACTGCAGCTCTCTTTGTGCTCTCCCAACAGGATTGGTGTTTAGTTTATGTTGGTTATGTGGTCAGCTCAGGATTTTGTGTTGAATTTAGAGAAAATGTTTTGTTCGGACTGGCTGGAGTTTATGCATTCTTTCAGAAAGTGCAGCTCTGTCTCGTCTCCCTTGCATATAGGCATGGGACGATATGAAGATACCCGATATTATCACCATAATCATGAAAACATACTTTAAATATTTTTTATATTTTTAAAATTGCACTAAAACATACTGGAATCACTTTACCAAGAAACACATATATTTATTGCATCACAGACAGAAACCTCGCCTCCCTGTTCTTTATTTTGGAATCGATACTCCACACATCTGGTTTAACCTTTTGTGAGGGGGACGCAACAGCAAGCCGAGCCTCCAGCCATGGTGACAGGCTTTCTAGTCATTTTGGAATGACTGGTAAGATACGGGCTCCGCCTTTTCCCCTTATTCATAATAAATCAGGAAATCAATATAGGAAAGTATGCTGGCAAGCTAGACAGCTTTTTAAGGTCCAGGCATACAGGGATATTCATAATTATCACGATAATGGGAATTCACTGTGTATTTTATCACTGTACGCAGTAATATTGTAAATCATCCCATCTCTAGCTAGCAGAACCGATCCACTGTGGGGAGCCATGATCGGCCTGTCTCGATGGCCAGGCTGTGCTTGTTGTCAAGGTAGTTCTTTGTTTAGTGACAGTCACTGTGCTCAGGTAATCTACCACACTGTACTGTCTTTTTAGGGCCAGACAAGGTAATGCTAAGATCGTGGTAACATTAAAGATCCAGATATTAACACAAAAGGTAGAATATGTTTGCCTTATCAGTCACAGTGTTGATGCTATGTCCAAAGAGACCAGATTTCCTAACTATTTTGTTTGTTTTTTGTTTGACCACTGTATCTTACCTAAGCTCATCCTTCTCCGGTCTTTTTTTAGGCAGTGATGCATCTCAGTGTTTGACGCATGAATTAACCTCGGCTGAAGAAATCAGTGATTTTCCCGTTTCTTTTTCCCATCCAAACTCTTTTAGGATTTGTCTTAAAGCTCTTTTGCTTTTGGCATGGGAGGCAAGTTTTGGTTTGACGTGTTGTGACTCACCTTGGTACGTTCCATGGCAAGCTGCGTGCTTACGAGTTTGACATTTGACTTTTATGTACCCATCTGTTTCGCAAGTTTTCTCAAAATACGGAATAAATCTGTATCCTGAAATAGTAAAAATTGAAATAATTAGAAAAGCACTGAAGCCTTGGTTATTTTGGTCTGTTGGTGGTTATTTCTGACAGGATAATGTGCCGCCTCCTCATTTTGCTCTGCTTTTGGTGTGTCTGTTGTGTCAGTTTGGGTGTCGGGGCACTGGAGTTGGATGGCAGCTCATGCGGGTGTTGATTGTTTGTGAGATGAGAGATGTGTGTTTTTTGTCATTTGCGGGTGCAAACATGAGCATAAAACTATTTCTTTCCTAGTCTCAGTTTAACAAGTGTGTTGTTTTCAGGCAGACATGGTCACAACCACAACCCTCCCGTGCACCCACGCTCAACTTGTGGAAAAAACCACAGGGCAGGCGACACATACATGGCAACCTAACTTTATATTATTACAGCTACTTAACACAGATGTACACATATGCTGAAAAACACATAATTTTCACAATGTTTTTGAGTTATGATGTGTTTATAGAGCTTGTATTGAATTACTTTTTCAGCAGCTGAATGTTTTAGTCAAAACCAAGAAAAAGAAATATTTAATATATCCACAATTTCATCCCACTATTTCTAACTCTTTTTCTGTCCCCGCTACCAAACGTGTTTTCAAATTAGGCTTAAGCAAGGCAGAACTAAATATTTTCTACATCAGATTGTATATGTAGCACTTGTTATCTCCCTTGCCATCGCTGATAACACATTGTGTAACGTGTTGTTCAATGTTATGTTACAGTGTGAATCATCTTCCTGGTAGATATGGTATCTGTTATCTTTATCAACATCTTTGTCTGGGACAATCAGAAACACATTGTTTCAATCAGAGTTATGAAGCGGCAAAGAGAAACAGAAAGTACCTGAGCAGGTCAAAGAGCAGAGGGAGTAAGGTGAAGATTATTATTTAACTAAAAAAATTTTTTGGACGTGATCGTGTAAATATGCCATTTTAGATTTGTTGGACACAAAGACAGAGAAGAGATGCAAGACTTCTCTGATCAATGTGATGCAGGTATATCCTGTGACAATAACGTGTTGTGTTTCTGCAAACATCTACTCTACCTGGGGAATGGGACCCTCAAGAGGTTGCAAGATAAATCTGAATATCAACAGAACAGTTTTTTGCTGCACAAAATCCTGCTTACTTTTTCAGACTTTTCTCTGTTATATTTGCTGTTTTCCTGAGCAGTGCTGGATAGTTTTGGATATTCAGGCCTCTAAAACATATTCAAATAAGATCAAGAAAAATTCATGTGGAGGCGAACCTCTCACACCTTATTGACATTTGCAACCAGTGTAAAGTAGGTCAGGAAAGTAGATATTGTTTAATTTTAATGGGTCACAAGCCAGAAACACTGGGAACCACTGGTCTAGAACTAGATTTGTAAATGTTTCAGTTATTATCTTTTCGGTGATCACGTGTATAGATGACCCCTTTGCTCATATCGCAGCAGTGATAAATATGTGATACGATACATAGTGCCATCCCACTGACTGATGTCTGCTCATCTTTGCTCACATAGGTTGGATCATGTTAACGTCGTTGCAGCCAGAGAGGTTCCTGAGGGAATGGAAAAACTGGTGGCAACCAATGACCTACCACTGCTAGCAATGGAGTACTGTCAGGGAGGGGATCTGAGAAAGGTAAAGTCTGTGGTATGTTTGCAAGAGTGTGTGCACATATGTGGTTAAGGACTCTGGATTAGAGTCATAGACCATTGGGCCAAAGTGCTGAATCATAATGAATTAACAAGGAGCGGCAAATACGTGTGGTGGCTCAGCACCTGGCCTAAATATGGTTATATTTAATATGATCTCTGTAAACCTTGTTGTCACTATTGCTTATATTTTTTGTAGTTCACTTAGTATTGCATCTGATTTGTTTGGACCAATAACCAGGCGATTGTTTGCACTTCTTCTGGGGGAGAAATCTGGAGCAGTTTTTAATCTGAGTGTGCAGCCTGAGGCGATAGACATTGTTGGCACCAGGCAGCCAGTAGAAGAGGAAAATGCCAACCACTGCAAACCACAGTGTCATAAAAATTTCAAAGCATCCCAGATGGTGGAGTTGGGGGCAGATGGAGTGGTTAGTGGGGACTGACAGCGGAAAACTGCACCATCCTCTTTTGTCAGGCCTGCCACAAGTTTCCAGCTGAGCGCTTTAAATATATTGTTTAAAGAAAAGTGTTCTTTAGTGTAACATTGCTACCAGAAATGTTCCTAAAAATCAGATCAACAGTGCACACAGAGAAATAGGGGTATCATTTCTGTACCCAAAGGTACATCTTTTCAGAAATGTCCATAAGGTGATAACTGTGGACCTTTGTTTAATTCTAAAGGTATAAAATCATGGCTGAGAGAAAGGGATATACAATTGTACTTTTAACGAGCTTAAGGTGAATAGAGAGTGAGGTTTATTGAAATAAAATAGGTACCAGCTACCAGTAAATTTCCATTCAATTCCTATTCTGTGTGTCCTGGGAATAATTTCATGAGCAAAAAACTAGGACTGCACTTCCATTAAAATTTCTAAATTTGCCACACGGACATTTTGGGCACGACGCCCTTATTCAGCGTGTATTGGCAACTTCACACTGGATCTATCGGAGTGATTTTGTTCATTTACAATCAATTAAAGTAGCTAATTGTTGGTGTAGCAGAGTTAAATGCTTCCACTAACCATTACTGTCAATTCTATTTTATTTATTATCACTGTTTGATTGTCCATCTATTTACTCATTCTTTGCATTCCTCCACAGGGACTCATTTTTCTCTATTTGTTTAACTTTATTTTATGCCTCCCTTATGGAGCCACTGTAAATGTGCACTGATGGCCTAAAGGTTAGAGAAGCGAGCTTGTGGCTGGGAACACTGGGACATAAAGGTACATTTTTGTTACAGAAAAGAAGGTACAAAAATGTAAAGGTCTGTACCTTTGAACATGGTACCTTTTTTGTACCTTCTTTTCTTCTACTGTACCCTGCTAGGGTACAGCTAGAGTGACAAATCATTTGTACCCTTTTAGGGTCCATTCCTGTACCTTGATTTCTTAGTGTGTGCACATCCTTGTGAAAAGTTATATTTATGTATTAGAGAAAGTCAACACTTGGGTTTGTTTTCTGCTTGAGTCTGAGTCCGTTCACGACCTCGAATGTATGTCAGATCTCTTATAAACACAATGTGCTTAATGGATGAAAAACAGCTGTTTTATGGAGCAATAGAAGTGCAGAAAGTTTTAAAACAAGAATAAAGAAGATTAATGAACGTTTTACTAAGACTGTGTCCTCTTATATTGTTTGTTTCTGTTTCTGCTTTCTGCAGTATCTGAACCTCTTGGACAACTGCTGTGGAATGAGGGAGGGCTCCGTTTTGATTCTGTTATGTGACATTTGTGAGTATCCGGCCCAATCCCCAGATTTTAAATTGTGTGAATGTGAGAGTGATAGATTGATTGAGTTAGCCGGCGGTTTGATTAGTAGTATGGAGGAAATGATCACAGTAGTGAGTATCATGTATCATGATGTCATCAGTGACCCTAAACCACCAACGTCTTAGTCACCATGGTGACGCTGCACACTCAGGCAGAAGCTTACGTCAACAATCGGACACTCACGCCCTGACCCGAACATAACATACGAATGCTCACATCAACGAGACATTGTATTTTACACGCTGTGTAAACAGCTTTGAGAGAGGACACATATGTTATGGATCACACATATCTAGAGTGGAGAGGAGAGTAAGACACACGCACACACACCAGACACACACACACACACACACCACACAAACATAAACAGAGACATACGTACACACACAGTCACACAGAAACTCCTTTTCCTGTTACCCACTGGTGGACATTTCCTGATAATGAGTGATCCCCTTTAAACTGTTTCACGAGTGAGGGCAAAGATACAGGCATGCACACCCACACCCAAACACACACCCAAACACACACCCAAACACTCACACTCACACTCACACACACACACACACACACACACACACACTCACGCTCACACAGTAAGGTGCCACAAAGGTTAGTTCCACTTTGTTGAACAATCTTTGCCAGCACACACACTAGTCACCCTTTGACGCACAAGTAAAGTGACATTATAGTTTGAGACGAAACCTATTCATTTGGCTCCGACAGATTAAAGGCTACAGAATGTGTATAGGAAGCTTATCCTCTTATGGGTCTTAGTAAAGAGTAACTTAATAGCCCGGTGTGTCACATTTAGGAGGATCTAGTGGCAGTAATAGAATATAATATTCACAGGTTGGGTTTATTAGTGTTTAATCACCTGAAAAATAAAAATAAAAATGTTTTCGTTACCATAGAATGAGACATTTTTATCTACAGAGGTACCAGGTCTAACACACATGAATCTCCGACCAAACTGTTATTGGTCACGTTGCATTGTGGGTAATGTAAAAGAAGAATGTGTGGAATAAAAAAGACAATATTTCTGGTTTCTCTTTCCTTTATAAGTTCAACAATGTACAATACAATACAATACTAACTCAGTCCATTTAGTCGTACCTGTGCTTTGAATAAATCAAACTCAAATATTCTGTGTAATTATGGTGTCCTTTTAGTGCAGCCTGCAGAATGAAAAACATGTGGCTACCAGCTACTCTCTCTGTATTTGATCGTATTTGATTTCTTCTTACCTATTGCCCCACGTATACCAATACATCCGCCATCAGCTCTAATATCAGCCGATATCTTACCCTAGCTGATTAATTGGTCTAGCTCTAGTTTACATGCAGTTTTCATATGAGCATAAACTATGAATATAAATCTTCCTTTCTTCTGACTTCTTCTTCTTTCTCAGCTTCGGCTCTAACCTACCTCCATAAGAAGAGGATCATCCACAGAGATCTGAAACCAGAAAACATTGTGATGCAGCAGGGAGAGAAGAGAGTGAGTTAAAAACCATCTTGTTATGACAGATACACCCAAACCACAACAAAGGGGTCATATACAGGCTGTGCTGGTTATGTGGAATAAGTGCAGGAGACTTGTCTCTTTCACATCCATATGTTTATCCTCACCAGTAGAGATCAGCTTTACTGCACTGAATATTTAATGTGGAAACCTCAATTCTTTTGCTTATCCTTGCAGTTACAAGGAGCTTTTGGTATTGCCTTGCTCTTACCTTCCTCTCTGGGCCTCCCTTAATTTTGCCCGTTATGTAACAAATCACATCATGTCATCCACCAGTCTGCAACAGGACACAGGAAAATGAAGAATGTTACATAAATGAGGCCAGACATATTAAATAGGTTATATTTTCATGTTTATGCACGCTCCTGTTGTTTATAGAAATTTAACCAAACCAACCTTTATCTCCTCTGCAGTTTATAGTTTTGCATGAGCACTTGTTTTTGTCTGGCATACTAGAGAAACACTAAATCCAACATACTATTTTTTGGGGGGGTTTGGTTATAAAGACAAAAGGGGGTGTACACAAATGGACGGAAACACATTAAAAGTTGATTTATGCTCATGTATTCTTCGGTGTCTTGGGATTTAAAGGAATAGTTTATTAACTTTCTGGTGTGAAGTCTGATTACAGTACAGTTAAATACAGTATAGGTCCAGGTGTAGCTAGCTAGAAAGACATGGGAAAAAAGGTAGCCTCCGACATTAATAAAATCTGCCTACCAGCACCTCTAATGCTCACTAATTAACACATTATATCTTTGTTTAATCCCTGCAAAGGTATAAAAGCAAATAAGTGTATTTTCCAAAATGTCAAACTGTTCCATTAAGTTATACATTTGTAATTATAGGATAACTTTTTTCTTTTCTCTTTTCCTAATCTTAGTTGATCCACAAAATTATAGATCTCGGCTACGCTAAAGAGCTGGACCAGAGCAGCCTTTGCACCTCGTTTGTGGGAACACTACAGTACTTAGTAAGTGATGAAAACACAGGTGGACACATTTTCCATGCAATCATCTTCACAGTAACAGCTGAACATATTTTTCATTTCATCTTCCAGGCTCCAGAGCTCATTGAGAGACGTAAGTACACGGTCACTGTGGACTACTGGAGCTTCGGGACTTTGGTGTTTGAGTGCATCACAGGATTTCGTCCTTTCTTACCAACCTGGCAACCCGTTCCTTGGTAATAGCATCTTTCAAAAATTCTTATATCTGAAATAAGTTGGTGCCAAAAGGCATCATGAAGAAAGTAAAGTCATGTTTTCCAAAACTTTCCACTATTACACCCTTCTCAAATAATTGTTTTTGCTTTTGCACCTTTGTGACCAGTCTAGTTTTTGCAAAATAAGCTGAACAATGACATTTTTGAATGTTAGGCAATGATAAGCCTAATTCCAAGTAAATGTTATTGTTACGTGACAAGGAATGTATAAATACAAAGGAGTTGCCAAAGCAAAGAATTGTAGGATATGTGGGTTGTGCCAGCGTCAATGCCCCTTGTGCCTCGCTAATATGATGGATGAAAGATATGAAACTCAAGGGGCTCTGGGTTACATAAACGAAAAATACTTAGAAAGAAACTCAGGTTCAGTTTCAGGCAACTGGCTGTGTACTCAGGTGGGAATTTACCATGATCAAATTGAGGATGAAATGGAGACAAAAAAGCATTTATAAACTCACAAATATGCCATTTTTGGGCTTTTCCCTCCAATTGCATCCTTTTCAGGCACCATAAACTGAAGCTGAAGCAGGACAATGATATTGTCGTCTATGAGGACCTCACAGGGGAAGTTCGCTTCTCTAAACACCTGCCGCAGCCCAACAACCTCAACAGGTGATTTTATCTGTGACAGTAACACACATACACAGAAAAAAATGCAAATTTAAACGTGTATTTCCTCAGTCTAATGTGTTAACTGGTGTTTGACAGTCTGCTATTAGAGAAACTGGAGAGGTGGCTGCAGCTGATGTTAAAGTGGTCTCCTCAGGAGAGAGGCAAAGACCCCGAGGCTACACCCAGCAACTGCTTCTCCCAGTTGGAGCTCATACTGCAGCTTAAGGTCATTTATTCTTTCATTTTGTCCCATGTTCCCCCATGTGGACATTTTTCTTTTGGTTTAATGTTGACCTGCACCAATAATAAACAAAAAATATAATTGAAGGCAGAATTTTGAACTTTCTAAGGCCTGAAGTGCTGCACCAGTGCACATATTTACTTGTTCTCTCTGAGTCTGCAATGTGCTTGGCCCTTTTTCTTTTCCCTCAGCTGGTTCATGTGCTGAACATGATGTCTGCTAAGATCCTGACATACTCAGTGGCGGACGATGAGACTGTGGCAGACCTGCAGCTGAGGATAGAAAAAGACACCAAGATCCCTGCAGCCAATCAGGAGCTGCTTCTGGAGGCGGGGTTAGCCTTGGAACCTCATGGACTGGCTACACAATGCGCCGTAGATTACACCGTAATATCTAACATAAACACTGTACACACAATACCTTCACAAAATAGCCAACAGCACGATGTAATAATGGACTGAGGCTTACCATTGTTATTATTATCTGTGTCTGTAGGAGATAGATGGGCGACGGACAGACTTGCCTCTGGTCTTCCTGTTTGATCGTTCCTCTTGCAATTATGAACCTCACTTCGCTCCTCGCACCCTTCCGGAAAACATCCGCTTTGTCCGTGAGTACACAGCGATAAGTAAACAATATTAAAAACGTCTTCACCTGAAATTCTGTCCAAATGTTTTCTTTGTTTAAGCTGCTTCTATTTCTTCTTCTCTCTGTTGATTTCAGTTGAATCTGCGAGTGTGAGTGAAACACCATGAACACGTTTGCTAAAAATCTCTTGATTAATTGTGCACTCAAGCAATTACTTTATTTTGTGAATCAACTGGGGTGTATGTTTTACTCAGGGTTCCCACAGCAGAGTTCCAGTGAAGGTTTTGCTTTTGTGTTTTGTTAAATATAGAAAATAAAATCTGTAGCAAACAAAGGTTTATAAGATTCCACAAATACAAACACACCGCACACTTTACCGCATTTAAACTGCTCACACAGTTAATATACAGACAAAACAAATGTTAGTTGTTGTAGACAATATGAAATATTCTTTAGGCTGATATGAACCACAAACCTTATTTTCTGCTTGAATTGAAAACCCTGTGGGGAGAAAAAGGTTTTTTTATGACTACAAACTGACATGATTAAATAAAATGACCATAACAAACTTCTCTCGTTCTTTGTCTTTCTCATAGAAACTGACCCTAAGCACCTCCTGCCTTACAGCCCTCTGAGGAGGACTTGTGGCCAGGCATGGCACACCATCCGCTCCCTAAAGGAAGACTGGCAAAGACTGCAGCAGGGGCAGAAAGCAGCCATGTACGTCATACACAAAATACACACACAAACTCCCACACACAACACACATATGCATTAATTGTTCTTCTTTTCCTCTTTCTGTCAGCATGAGCCTGCTGAGACACAACTCTTCACTGTCCAAACAGAAGAATGAGATGGTGTCCATGTACCAGAGACTCATGGCCAAGCTTGACTTCTTCACCACCAGCCTTCACATAGATATGGACAAATACCAGGAGCAGACAGCCACCGGGATCGGTACTGTGTTACAAAAACATGTGGATAGATAACAGGAAGTTTACAAAACAACTGCCAAAACCGCATATAATCTGTCCTTTAATCGTAATTATTTATAACTTAATATGGCAGTCCTGTTTACCTCAGGGGGAAAGTTGTTTTTGTTTTGAACAGTTTAGCCTGCCGCTGACTAATGTTAGTGTTTTTTAACATTTTCTAGCGTCAGAGAAACTCCTGTGCGTGTGGAGGGAGATGGAGCAGACTGCTGTTAGCTGTGGTCAGGTAGAGTTGAGTGTGTTTCTGTGTATGTGTGTGTGTGTGTGTGTGTGTACGGGGTATTAATGTGTGCTTTAAAAAGACTAAAACCTATGTGTGGGTGTCTAGGCCAAGGTGAGTGAACTGGAGGAGGAGATGATGCAGCTGCAGCCAGACATAGTGGATGTGCAGAGACAACCGTGGAGGAGTGGAGAGGCCCTGGACACTCTGTAAGTCTGAACCAAACTCTGGTGTAACAACAAAACAAAACAACTGCTTTGTGATCTGTGACCTTGCTCTCTTCTCCTCTTTATTCCTCAGCGAAGGAAAGGCCATGGAGCTGTTCCGCAAACTCAGAGAGAAACCCAGAGGTTTGGATGTCACGCATCTGTTCTCTTCTTACGTAACACCTGTTATAGTGTTTTCATGTGAAAATAAACCTCCTTTTACGTTCTTCTGGCTTTTCTTTTCCTTCCCACTGCTCAGACCAGAGGTGTGCAGGGGACAGTCAGGAGGTGGTGCGCCTGGTGGTTCAGGCGGTGCAGTTCTATGAGAGGAAGCTCAGAGACTTCTACACACACCTCAGGTACTCACACACAAAACACTGTTAAACCAATACAGTATGTTATTGTGTTTGGGAAAATGTGGGTTTGGAAACTGAATGAGTCCTGGGCAGCTCTGTAGTTGCAGTCCTTAACTCCCATTTGTGAATTTGTGTAATTTCTGTGTAAAAATATTACAAGAAATGCTCTATTATATGGCTTCATAGAGAAAAGTTTGGGCCAATTTACAGGCTTGGAAACAAGAAAGGTCACAAAATGGAATCGTAACGGTGAAACAGGCCTTTTTCATAACACGTCACAGCAGTAAAAGCACAATAGTACAATGCTACTATTTAAACCATATTAATATTATTATTAGCTACACCTGTGTATTTTATGCTCTGACAAATGAAAATATCTGAGAAGAGGTCAAATAAGAAGTGCAAACACTTCTGCTGGTGACTTGTTAACATTTACAACTGTAATGTGATGGCTAAGTGTAAGGTCACAAATTAATTAAATGCGTACTGATATTTATAACAAAGTGTAAAAAGTCACAACCTTTTATTAATGAAAGATTTATTTTTAAAATAAACCATCCAGTCTGTGGTTAATAATGTTTGTACGTCATAAATGAATGTCTTAGGGCCTGGACGCTCTACTTCTAGAGCTCTATGTTCTCACTTGTGGATGAACTAATCCATGGGGAGGGGACGCTGACAACTTGAGAAACCAAAAATGTCTTTTCTTTCTATTTTTGTGTGCGTTATGCAGTAAGACCGCAGTGTGCCGCCAGCGTGTGATGGAGCTGCTGCCGAAGGTGGAGGGCGTGGTCCAGAGGATGGCTGAGAGCGAGCAAGTCCTGATGGGTCTGCAGGAGAAACGACAGAGGGAGCTGTGGAACCTGCTCAAAGTCGCCTGTGTGAGGATTCATGAACTGCTCACAGACGCAGCTGTTAATTGCATATAATTGTGTATCATGATATGAGCAGCTACAAATAATAATCATAGAAAAGCAGCAGGTTGTGTGGTTGGAATTCACCAAATTCTCAATTCTCTACTTAAAAGCACCAAAAGCCAAAAGTCCAGTCAACAACATAACCTTAACAATTCATTAATTTCACAATAAGTAGGTGCTGTATGCTGTATTAACTACCAGAGAATAAAGTGCATCATCTTGTCTTGTGTAGAGTAAAGTTCGCAGCCCGGTGAGTGGGAGTCCCGATGGATTACGAACCCCCTCTTCAGTGCCGCCTCTACTGACCCCCAGACACAGCTTACATCAGTTGTAAGTGCACTAACACACTGGTGGTTCAAGGACGTTTTTTCCAGGCTCTCGTATATGATACTTCTGTGCTCATTACAGCTTTCAGTTTTTTCACACATCTGCCGGCTACTTGAGTCAAAGTTGTGAGTCAAAGTTTTCTTGTCAACCGATGCTTTCACACGCTAAAGACAGACATCGTCACCAAAGCTTTCCAGAAGGCACAAATACATCTCCTGTACAAACACAGATAACATGCTATCAAATGTTTGAGCAACATCTGCATAAATCTCTTTGGGTGTGTCTGCAGTGACGAGTCTCTTGTGGAGGAGAGCAGGACATTTGAGAGTCGACTTCAGAGTTTGCTGCATGACACCATCCAGGAATCGGAGAGCAGTATGGAGGTACATAAATGCTCACAGTCATTTTGTTCTGATAACGAAGGTGTGGTTCATTGTTTTTCTCTGAATCATTTGTGATGACTATTAAAAAAACAAAAACATTTGTCTTTGTCCCAGATGTTGAGCGAGTGGACGTGGCTGCATGGAAGCCAGAATTTCTCCAGTGACCTCTCTTAAATTGGGTTTCATTCTTTGCTTACTTGTGGTACTTTACTGCCTCTGTGTGGATGGGATGTCAAACTACAAGAGGAGTTGGTATTAGCTGTTTGTTTAACAATGTGAATAGTGTAATAGCTGCTGGCACATATTTGTCTAATGACATTAAGAAGAGGGTAAATCTACCCACACGCCTGACAGTGTAAACGAGGAAAATGAATGCCAACCTGTAGTGCACTGAAGCAAATCTATCTCTAATTAGGATTAACCAGAATTTACTAAAGCAGGACGTTATTTATTTACCCATTTGTAATTTCAACAAAACATTATATACATTTTGGGGTAAAATTACATTTCTTTATGCACAGATCGACCGTTCCAGATACAAACCATTCAGAAAATATTCCCGCTATGTTAAAACAACTGACACACATAAAGAGCACATTTTATCCTCAAAAAATATTTCTTTATATTTCTTTCACTGTGTTTCATGGACTTTTATCAGGAAAGATTATATTTTAAGATTTATGCACAATCATCCGAAATAAACAGGATTTTAGTTATATTCTACAGATATCTCTGCCTTGAACTGTTTGTTCTGAACTTAAATGTAAGTGTTTATCCGTTTTTATGTGTTTCTCACTGGACCATCATTTTTTATTGCAACTATTTTAGTATCATTTAATGAAATGGGTAACATGTAAAATTAATATTACAGTATAACTGTATGTTGAATGATGTATGAAAGTGATCCTTTTTGGGGTTTTTTTACATTCACTGATAATTACATGGAGGGTGGCCACAATAACAGGAACACTGGCACAATATGGTGCAGTCCAGTATCCCTGCAATAATAATTAAGTGTAAATAATTAAGAGGTTGGGTGTTTGTGGTTATAGTCAAAAGCAACACAAATCTCTTGGCTTAGTCCAATATGGTGATAAAAACAGCCAATTTCTAGTCTAAACTTCAATTTTTAAACATTTAAACCTTGTTTTACTCTAAACAGTGCATATGCAAATATTGAGCCAATGTATGGACTGTAGCAAACCTGTGAAAACAGCTACAAAACTAACCAAACTGACTTTTTAATACCACCATATCGCCATTATATTTTAATCTAATGTGACTGCTACAGCAATTTGATATTGCACAGCTTCATCTGAACGACTGGAGGCAGTCCTTACTGTATATAGATAATACAAAATGATAAGAAATGTTAGTGTCAAGTGTCTGTGATATCTTGTCTCTTATGTACATACTCTGTTAAGATTGTAATGTCTGAATAACATAATGTTAGACATTTCTTTCATCATTTTCAAAGCAAAAACAGAAATTTGTATCTTGAATACAGTATTTTACTGTACTGTCAGTGATGTTTTCTTTAAGAAAGAGGGCACAGGTTCTCCTCTATCTTCACCTCTTTTATGCCAACCAAATCAATAATAAAGAAAACACAAGAACATAGTGTTTTTCCATTCTTTATTCCATTCAATAAAATCAGTTTGAGGTCCTAAAGGTTGACTAACTCCCCTATACAAAGCACAGCACAGATAAAGTGAAATGTAGTGGTAAAGGCTGAACAGGTACAGGACACAAAACGAGACAAGACAAAGAGGTGACAAAGAGTTCCAAATTGCCATTGGCCCTTTTACCAAACAGGACCTGAAAAATAGACATTTAGGCAACTGCAGGTTCACAGTTTTTAACTGTGTTATTGAGGTCAAATGGTGGAATCAAAGTCAGTCCACCCAGTCTGAGAAGGATCAGCCACTCTTTGTCTTTTCTGCTTAATTCTCTCCAGCTTTTATTGCATTTGTTTACAGTCACTGTACTTGTCAATAGAAAACGTCCATCTTGCCTTGAAAGCATGCAACAAAACCACAATATACCAAAACAAGCTTCCTCTAATAATCATATTAATGTCTAAAACCCAGAGTATGTCTGAACAAAAAATTATCTGACCACACAGTCAAAATAAGAAGGTGCTTCAAATCTTATTTCAGAAAGAATACAGATATGTCTGAGACACAAATGCTTTATTAAAAGTGCACTTTGTCTGGTCAAACTGGTAATGAGTAGCACATTGGAGAACAGGGGTTTGCATGAATTTACCTGGTTGACAAGTCTGTTCTTTTGTTGTACTCTGATAATGTATGCTCAAAAGTTGGTTGTGGGACCTGTAAATAATGTAAAATTTTAAAATAACCAACACAAAATAATGTCTGATTTCTTTAAAATTACAGTACTGGAGGTCCTGGAGGCTGCTTGGGGTTTCAGGGTTAAGGCCAAAGAATGTGTGCATATGTGTGTAGGACTCAGAGGGAAGATGTGTTTACGTGTCACTGAGTGGACCTTTTGCTGTGTTTTCACATTTGGGTTCTTCAATCTTCTCCTGGGTTGTTTTCCTCTCCTCTCGTCTGTCCTCCCAGTGAATCTTTTTACGCCTCCAGCTCGAAACCCATGCCGACTTTGTGTCCACCGCCGTTTACGTTCTTCCCGTCAATCAGACCTGAGAGGGTGAGCTTCACTCCTGCAGGGAAGAGTGTCAGATTATTTATCACATAACCGCGCCTATGCTCTTTGGATTGTTGTTATAGAAAACAGTAATAGGCAAATCAGCTAACCTGGCCGGAGAGTTTGTGTGTATCCAACTCCAACGAGGCAGGCGTTGTCAACTTTGGTCTGTGAGGAGAAACAAAACATTGTTGACAGGTGAGATAGTCCTGTTTAAGAGAGTAGATCGATGGGAACTAGGATGCAGTTACATAATTCATATCATATATATGGATACATCAGGTCAACAACTGCAGAGGAGGTAAGATGACGGCCTAAGAAGTATGTCAGGTAGTTGCGCACAGTGAATGTGGTTTTAGGGAGACTCGCAGTGTTGCTCAAGGCAATGTTGGCCCGTTGGTCTGGTAGTCTAGCTACCACTGTGGTCCAGACTGAAATATCTCAACAAACATTGGACGGATGTCCATGAACTTTTGTACAAACATTAATGGTCCCCAAAGGATGAATTCTTCTGACTTTGGTGATCCTCTGACTTTTCCTTTAGTGCCACAAGCAGTTTGACATTTTTGGATGTTAGTGACATAGCTTAACAAACTATCATCCTATTTGGTACACACATTGATATCCCCCTCAGAATGAATTGGAATAACTTTGGTGATCCCCTGACTTTCCATTAACTGGTCAAGATTTCACTTTGTCAAATATTTTCGATTATGACTAAATACTTGCAAAGCTAATGACATTTCTTTGTGTTTAGAGCTAATTAGCAAATGTTAACATGCTAACATGGAACATTAGTATGATAGCATTGTCATTGTGTGCATTTATCTTAGACTGTAGTCAATGTCACTGCTAATCCTAAATTTAACCATTTGAATCTATCATTTTAGATGTGTCCATGATGTTTTGAAGTCAGTTCTTACAGACAGGGAGGCATCCTTATCCAGCTGGTATTTGGCTCCAATTCCAAAGCGTGTGTTGTTGCTGCCAGCTGTCCAGGCGAGGTGGACCGCTGTCTCCAAGTTGCCGTTCACCTTTTGGTAAATGGAGCCACCAAACTCTGTGCCGTCATTACTGAAAAACAAAAACAAAACACAGAAAAAGGTAAAGACTAGCAGCCATGGATATTAGTATGAATCTCATCCAACCATTCCAACTATTTCCAATTGATGCCCCTCTTTACTATGATACAGTAACTCACACGCTGGTGTGAAGCTGGAAGTCACCAGCCTTGTATCCAAGGGCAAAGTTGTTCTGGGTCAGTTTAGATTTGGCTGTGTCAAAAGCCAACTGGTAGCCTGCCAGCCAGCCCTCGTAGCCCAGCACAGCAGCTGCATGGACGGTGGGACCAGCCATGTCGAAGTCCAGATCGCAACCCACATTGACAAAGTCACGCTTGTAGCCGGTCTTCAGCTTAGCACTCTTCTTGCTGCAGAAGGAATAACAAAGAAAGAGGGATTGTCATCTAGAACATGGTGCTGCATATTTTATATGTTTATAATATATCTGTATTGGTTAATTTATTGAAGACATTGAAAATTACTAAGCATGAACAGGAGTGGTCTTACCCGGTGTTGGGCACAAACGACGTGTCCAGACTAAGCTTCAGGCCCTTAGCCAGCTACAGACAGACACACAGACAGGAGACACAGGCGATGAGCTAATACTCTTATCTGAAAGTGAATATATTGTATATTCTTGTTTGTTTGACTCTACCTGGTCCTCCATGGTGATTTCTGTGGTCAGAGTATTGTCGGTGTTCCATTTCTGGTTGAAGTTAAGGCCCAGCTCGTTCACTTTGTACTTGGTCTCCAGGTGGCCTCCTGACTTCCCTGTGTCTGTGTTGTTGGAGCCGGAGGTGGCAAACTCCTGTGGAACAAAAGAGGGATGGAGTGATGAAGGGGGAGATGGAAAATGAAGTGGGAAAGGGAAGCAGAAAGGCACATTGCCACATTAGGGACTACAGAAACTAAAGGAAGAAGGGGTGAGAAAGCATACTGGGAAAAGAAAATAAGAAAAAACAAAGGCGTGGAAAACAAGCATTGCTTCTCTGTGTTTCCTCTGCCACACAATCCCTCTCAAGTTTGTATGGCTGGTTATTAAAAAGAAGAACTACACCTTTAAGATGGAGAAATGAGGAAAACTGAAAATATAGGCAGGACTGTGAGGGAGAGGTTGGTTGTGAGTGTGTTTGAGGAATCAGTGCTGTTACAGCCGCAGCAGCTGGGATAGTGGTGCCACTTAGACGAGCTACTGCTGTAAAAAAAACACTTGGCAGAAAGCCTGCACAAATCATCTGCACACAAACACATAATGGGGTATCGCTGGCTTACCCTGCAGTGCACCTGTGTTTAATCATTACATACGCACACGCTCTCTCTTACCATCTGACAGGAACATCCAAAGAGGAAAGCAGAAAAAAAAAAGAGAAAAGAGAGAAAGTTAGGGAGAACCACACAGAGTTCACATGCGGAAATGTATCTGCTCAGTGGGAAAATGAAAAGCAGCACGACAGAAAGCGTAAACCTGTGAGTTTAGATGCAGAGGGAATATGTTTACAATGTTTTTTTCAATGAGGTTTGAGTTTTGTGGCATGAAGGAAACTCTCAATGCAAGTGCTCATTATGGTTTTACCATGGCAACAGGTTTACAGCAACAGACACATAGCTTGTCTGGAGCACACTAAACACCCAGTGCCACTCTTTCCCCATCATGGTACAACATGTTGCTTGAGGTAAAAGAGTAAGCTGTAGACTCGTCAGGCAGACAGTGCTGACTCTGTAGGTTAGACAGGGTACATGTCAGACAGCAAACACACTCTGACATGAAATGCTGCGAGGCAATGAGTCAGCCATTTGATCCACACCACAGAGTGCTGAGAGAAAGGCCTGAACATGAAACTTAAAACACACAAGGCTTACAGAGACAACAGTAGTACTTACAACACCACTCTGGGACTTTGTCTTAACGTCCAGCTTCAGAACTCCATAGCCTGGGGAGACATTAGGACATTAGGGAAATTCACAGGAACAGAAGGTTGGAAAAATAACTAACATCACAGCACGGCGTGGCTCTAAAACAGCTGCAGCAAAAATAAACTTGCATTTAAAGTGACAGAGCAAACAAAATGTTCTCTAATATTAATCCTGCTTTAGCACAGCTTCATCCAAAAAGTAACATCATAGCAATAGTATAGGTTAGGAGAATTTGAATTACCATAGCCCTTGTTGAAGATGTCTTTGGCAGATTTGCCCAGATCTGCGTATGCAGGAGGGACAGCCATTGTGCCTGAGGAAACAGAGATGCACATTAGGTTTTTACAGTCTCTTCACAATAAAAGGGACATACAAGTACAAATCCACTGCGTCAATCTGTCTTGTGCATAATGCATAGGGGATACGCCAGCAATTGAATAATGTATTTTCATAAAGTTGGAGGTCTCACAAGGGACAGATTTTAGTGAAATATCTAGATTTTTGAAGTCAGTAGCATGGGTTGTGCTACATAAATTTCCCTTAATGCAACTCCACAGAGTCATGGTGTCATTCCCTACCTAAGTGATCACCCACATCTTTTATACTCCTCCAATTTGTAAGACAACTTTTCTCTCAACCCTGCCACAGAATGTATTATAATAGTCAGTATACAAGTGTTATCACAGACTGAGTAGTACCCCCAATGAGGACTGAACTTGTGAAAAATCAGTGGAGTGCCCCTTTAAATCCAAATGCTGGAACAAATGCTACAAACAAATACAAGCTGAATACCTCTTGCAAACACATGGAGCTCTGCACCTTTGTGGAAGCTGAGCAATGCAACCTGCATGTGCATGAACACATGAAAAGAGCTGACCTCACACACGAAGCACTGCAGATAGCATTTTCTACCAAAGATCTACTTGCAAACAACCAGACAGCATACATCAGTATAAATATTTGTCTCAGCTGGAAGACCCTTTGCCATCTAGAGGGGGCCTGTCTGTGTGCTGGTGATATCCAGCCTCTCTCCTCCCCCTCCATCTTCCATGTGACCCCTATTGATTGCCTGGCAGCAGTCCATTAGCAAGCAGCAGAGGATGTTAAACTAATGGGACTGATTCTCTATGAGGAAGGGACTAGAAATGTACAGGAGCAAATATTTTTAAAAGATCACACAGCCAGACAACAGAGACATTTTACTGCAAGACTGTATTTCAACATGAATAACATTCCCAGTATGCTGTGATTTTTTGTGGAGGAAAGGAGATATAATATGTATGATGTGTAAAGAAACACTATGCAAGCCAATGCAGCAGAGCTAACCTAAGCAGAAGCAGGTTTGGTTAGTCAGCAACTACCATTTCTGCACAACACTGCACTGCACCGGGCTTCAGACAGACATCAGGGTCCCCTGGGTTAGTGTGTGTGTGTGTGTGTGTGTGTGTGTAAAGAAGACATTTTTGACAAGGTGACTTTGCAGGAGCATTCAGAATATCCTGCATTGATTTATAACCTAAAGCTGGTTTATTTCTTTTACTACTGACTCTTCCTCTCTGCGCTTTTGTCCTGCTGCTCTCTTCACTATTAATCTCACCGGTTACATCTTTTCTGCAGAGGAGGGAGACTTTGCTTAGGTTAATGCAACCTCTCTAAACTAATGAATCAATGATTGAACCAGTGCAGAAAAACTTAATGCTGTCACTGCAATCAAACACAGTGGAATATCCAAATCTAGCCTCGAGAGATTAATGTCATTGCAGCCAAAGCTCAAGCCAGGGACCCTTATGATGCATCATCTGTCTCTGTCTCTACACAACCCCCCCCCCACTCACCATGTCCCTTAGGTGCGTTGTGCTGGCATGTCACACAGTGGTCTTTGTTCTGCTTGCCTTTTCCTGTCTTGTCCTGCTGCACCATACTCTCCACTCCTTTTTCTTCCATGACTCTTTAGAGGAGGGAATTGCAGGATGGACAATAGAAAACTTTGGCAAGTAGTCCTGCACTGTTTTGA